CGGGGGAGTCTTGCAGTAGAGAACTGAAGGGGAAGGGGGTGGTGTGTGGTAGGGGAGCACCCAGGGGTGCATGGAGCTGGGGGGGTGCTTGCAGTGGTGCTTGGGAGGGGTTATGCGGGATGGGGGGTTTGCAGGAGGTTGAATTTGGGTGGAAGGTGCCTGGGAGGGGAGGCTGGTGTGTGTGTGTGTGTGTGTGTGTGTGTGTGAGTTCTGGGCTCAGAGGGCTGATGTGGGCACTGTCTCTCCCAGGAGGTTGGGCGCATGAAGATCGAGCTGTTCGCTGACGTTGTACCCAAAACAGCAGAGAATTTCAGGTGAGGAGCAGGCGATGGTCCTGCGAAGGCTTTATGGGACAGGAATGTCACTTGCCCCCCCAGAACCACTGCACCCCCTTTGCTCCTCCATTCCCAGAGAGATGGAACCGTGCAGCATCCTCATCGCCGGGGCAGCCCCTCTGGCTGGAAGCTGAAGGACTCTGGTCCCTCTCTATCAGAAGCTCCACAGAGTGAACACTCTCGCTGTCTTTATAATTATAAAGTCAGTACCTTAATGTCAGGGCAGAGCTCTCTGCCGTGGGCTGAAGGATGTACCCCTTGGACATCCCGCTTCCACGGGAGAAACGGATAATACCCTGCTCTCTGTGAGACACGGTGCCTGCTCCATGTTCAGTCTCTTACTGACCTCCTCCACTGCCCCACATACAGAAATCTGTTGGGGGATGGGAGTGGAGGGGAGTTACTGCCCCTTCCCGTTCCACTGGGGGTATCCCTGGTGCAGTGAGAAAAGCCCTGCACTTGGTGTGTGTTCACTGAACACAGCCCTCTGCGTCCTCAGAGTTCAGATGTGCCTCACACTCTGCTCTTTTTGTTTGTTTTCCAGGCAGTTCTGTACGGGGGAGTTCAGGTGAGTGGGTTGTGGTGCCCTTTTAAGGAGCCTCCTCAGAGAAACAGGGCTGGGGGAGTTGGGAGAAGGCTCACTTGGAAGTTTTTCCTACTCCAGCAGTACAAAGTGAAAGAGTTAGAGAAATCTGGGCTGCCCCAACGGGTGGGGGGTTGTGTATCAAGAGCAACCCCTGGGGACTCCAAACCCGGGCAGGGCTTTGTGTTGGGGTAGCCAGTCAGCTGTGATGATTTTCCTTTTGATTTTCTGGCAGGAAAGATGGTGTCCCTATAGGTTATAAGGGAAGCACGTTCCACAGGTAATTAATTCTTCTGTGTTTGTTCAGGCGCTTCAGTCGCGGTCTGGGTTTGGAGACCTGCCTCAGAGGTGGCAGTGGTCTGGGAGGCGTTTGTGGGTCATGGCTAATACCCTCCTTCTGTGGGTCTGGGGGGCTTGGGGGTGCTGTTAGCTGTATGAGCTGGGGTCACGGGGAGGGATCCCCCGTTCTGGTGTGCCAGGTCAGAGTCATTTCCTGGCATCTGTCACCCAATCTCTGTCCCTGGTCGAGCAGCAATGGGTCCCAAATTACCTGATACAACCAGTTGTTAATGTTTATTGTAGATTTTAGACTGTAGCTTTCACAGACCCTGATAACTTTGGTTGTGCTGTGAGGCAGAACTCCTTTTGATCACATATTAACCTTCTTGAGGCATTTTTGTCTACTGAGAACTAACTATTGTTTTACTCCTTTAGGGTAATAAAGGATTTCATGATCCAAGGAGGTGACTTTGTAAACGTATGTACTTCTCTATTCCTGTTGTATTTTTCCTACATGGTACAATATGGAACTGTTCCCAAGGGTTCCTGCTGATTTATGGGATCTGGTGGCTCTCTTGTACCCAGCAGTAACTGGAGGTTTCCTCGTGGTGTTGCTGCCCCAGACTATAATGTCTGGGAAAGAAATCTGGAGTCTTGGGTGAACATACCTTCTCCTTCTCAAAACATTTCCTCTCCAAAAAGCATGGCAGCTGGAGGCTTTCAAATTTACAAAGATTATTTTTTTTACTCTGTGGTGTTGCTGCCCCAGACTATAATGTCTGGGAAAGAAATCTGGAGTCTTGGGTGAACATACCTTCTCCTTCTCAAAACATTTCCTCTCCAAAAAGCATGGCAGCTGGAGGCTTTCAAATTTACAAAGATTATTTTTTTTACTCTGTTATCCTTTCCCCATCTCCTGTCCACCCCAAACAAGAAACTCTGTGAATTCTGTGAATTTTAGCTTTGTGGAGAGAGATCTGAAGTAAAGAACCAAGCATCTGGTGCAAGAGAGAATTTAAATCAAAGCTAATTTTTTTTTGTTAGTGAATTGTCTCAAAATAGAAAATTGCTCTGTGCCCACCACGGTGGTCACACGCTGAGCTGGGGATACGCAGAGTGCATGGGGACGGCTGGAGGACCCCGGGGTCTCTTTGCTCTCCTAGGACCCAGCAAAATTATTTCATTTCTGGAAGAGTTTCAAAGTATAAGGGTGCCATACAGCTTTTTAAATACAAAATCTCTAGAACTTGAAAGTCAGCCACACCAGACTTTTAGGTAGTCGCTAATTGTGATGCTGCTCGAGTGTCCCACTGGGCTTTATTACTTCCAGTGAGGCTCAACGAGCGTTATGGATTGCAGCTGTATTTGTAATTGATAAATTACACTTATTACAAAGCCACCTGGGGAGCAAGAACAGTCACACTGAGCACTGAGGTAGGGCATGTGCTCCTGTCTCAGAGCCAATGGTTTGGGTAAACCAGAGAGAATAGGAGGAAAAGGAGCAGGGGCTGGGCAAGCAGAGCAAAAGATGTGGAGCTGCAGACAGTATATTCCTGGCATCTTCTTTTCTTGTTAAGTTTGGCCTTATATATAAAATAAAGTACATTCTCCCCCTCTGCTCTGCACTGGGGAGGCCACAACTGGAATCCTGTGTCCAGTTCTGGGCTCCCCAGTTCCAGAGAGACAGGGAACTGCTGGAGAGAGTCCAGCGTAGGGCACCAGAGATGCTGGAGGGATTGGAGCATCTCCCTGCTGAGGAAAGGCTGAGAGAGCTGGGGCTCTTGAGCCTGGAGAAGAGAAGGCTGAGGGGAGACCTTCTTAATGCTGCCAAGTGTCTAAAGGGTGGGTTGAGGGAGGATGGAGCCGGACTCTTTCCAGTGGTTCCCACTGACAGGACGAGGGGCAACGGGCACAAGCTGGACCATGGGAAGTTCCACTGAAATGTGAGGAAGAACTTGTTTGGGGTGAGGGTGGCAGAGCCCTGGCAGAGGCTGCCCAGGGAGGGTGTGGAGTCCCCTTCTCTGGAGATCTTCAAGCCCCACCTGGATGCTCCTGAGTGATGTGCTCTGGGCAGCCCTGCTTTGGCAGGGGGTTGGGCTGGATGATCCCTAGAGGTCCCTTTGGATGATCCCTAGAGGTCCCTTCCAGCTCTGACAACTCCCTGATTCCGTGATACATGTTAAGTAGAAAGGCACTGAAGGGAGACAGAAAGGGAGAATCGACACAGAGGGGGAAATTACTGACCGAATAGTAAATTTAAGTGACCGAGCCAGAGGTGTGTGTTGCTTCTGCTGCTGCTTTCCCTGGGGGGGTCCTCACTGCAGCATCTTTAAGGCTGTCCCATTGAAGGGTCCCTGCTCGGTCCTCTTGGCACCACACAGGATGTCTCTGCTGCGCTGGACCAAAGGGCAGGGTGGTCCCTCAGCTCTCCCACAAGTTACGTGTCTTACATGAACCACAGCTCAGGCTTCTGCCAAGTTATAAACTCATGAGCATCAGAGCTCGTGTCTTGAGGTCTGGGTGGTAGGGCTTGGGGTCAGGACAGGATGTCTCGGCTTGGTAGAAAGTACAGCAAAAATCAGAAATTCTGTGTTTTAGAAGCTGTCCTTGCTGAGCAGAGACATCGCTTCCCTCTTCCCAGTAGTCACAGAAAATAAGGTGAAATGAGTAAGTGCACCATCAGCTGGCTTTTCCCACACAACCACTCTGCTTTCCTTGTCACACCAGCCCATGCTCCTGCGTCCCCTCCCTGTCCCCTGCCCGCTCCAGCTGGGTCCATCCAAGGAATCTCTAGCTCTGTCTCGCTCTGGAGGCTTGGGCTTAATCCTTACAGTCTCTGCAGGGTTCTGCCAACGTGTTGATGGCAAACAGTGTCCTGTGTGATTAGAAACCAGTCACTGTTCCTCTTCAGAAATGAAACATTGACTGTGTTCACCGCTGGTGTATTACATGGCAGGGCAGCTTCCATTCTGGGCTGAGCTTAACCCTGTCCTTTTCCTTGGGGATTTTAAATGGAATTGTGAAATGGAACTGTTCTGTAGCTGATTGGGCACCTCTCTCCTGCAGGGAGACGGCACTGGAGTGGCCAGTATCTACAGGGGTCCTTTTGCAGATGAAAACTTCAAGCTGAAACACTCAGCTCCTGGGCTGCTCTCTATGGTGAGTGTGAAATAGTGACATTATAAGACTAAAAACCGTTGGCACTTTCTCTGTGCCCTTTTCCTAAGTGTGTACATTTTTTGCCAAGCAACAGAAATCTCCGCTGTTGGATCCAAGGTCTGGAAGACCCGCTTTGTAACTGCTGCTCAGAAGGGTTAATGCTGCTCATGGGTTAATGAGTTGAGTAACACAAAAGCCCCGATCCTGCAGCATCCTTCAGTTTCACCTGCTGGAGTGCTGGGCGGGCTTTGAGTTGCTTTCAGGGTTGCTTGATTCTTACAGCTTCCATACAGTGACAAGCTGTGTTATTTTTTTTTTTCCTTCTCTGATCAAACACTGACCTCAGCAAGGATGAAACAAAGAAATTTGGGAGTTTCAGAGCTCTAGAGGCATTACAATGGTATCTTTATAAGATATGCTTCCTATTCAACATTATAGGAGAACCTGCAACAGTTGCAGGTCGCCTGATGGGAACAATTCCCTGACTTCTGTGACAGAAAGGTGGTGGAGCCAGAGCTTCAGCGTTCCTGTCCACAACAGGAACTGTCCTGTCCTGCTGCTCCCCAGCTGCCCTGCCCTTAGACCCACTTGCTTTGGGCATTCACCATCTGGATTAGTTATTCATCCAGTTGAAAATATGGCACCAAAAGAGGTGTCAGGACACCACGTACCGTAGTGAGGGAGCAGGGATCCCACACTGGTGTCCCCAGCCCTGTGTTGAAGTGACCCAGCTCTGGAGTCCTGCTGGCCCAAACCGTGGTCCGTCCCAGCTGGATCCCTCCGAAGCTGGCGAGCAATGAGTAAAAGATCAGTGTGATGGTGTCCTGGGCAGTCCTGCAGCTGTGAAACTTGCCCAGTTCACTTCTCAGCACAGAACATGCTTTAGTGCCACCTGGTTGTCCAAAGAGCTTTGAAAAATTGAAATAGTCTTTAGTGTTGCAGAGATGTTTGCTTAGCAGAGCGCAGATGCTCTGGGTGTTGTGTTTGGGTGTGAATTACATTTCAGCCGTGCCAATACGATCATTACCTTTCTCATCCTGCTCATCAGAAGAGACACCTGCTTTTTATATTCCCTGGAAACCTTACAGATAGCAGAAATCAGCTGCTTTTTTTTTTTTTCTTTTTTTGCCCTGGTTCCTGGCTTTCAGTTTTCCCCAGGACAATGCCGCAGCAGTAAGTCCTCATAGTCAAAATTTTAGCCTTTTTCTTTTTTCAGGAGCCCAGATTTCAGCAGAATCTTGTGCTGAAAGTGAAAAGGAGTATAATAAAAAGTTAGTGAGGCAGCTCTTGCACTCACTGGCTGGACCTGACTTGGTGACGTGCCACGTCCCAGCCCAGGGACACTCTCCTGCAGATGCAGATCTTGCTTCCTTCGGTTTGTGTAGCAATAATGAAAATAAACTTGGCTGGATCTAGAGCAACAGCTCTTTCCTCTGCCTCTTTCATCTGCCTTCAGTGTGGGGAACTCTTTAATTGTACACTTTTTATATTTTGCCATTCTCAATCCCCAGGCGAACAGTGGGCCCAGTACCAACGGCTGTCAGTTCTTCATTACGTGCTCCAAATGTGACTGGTTGGATGGAAAACACGTTGTGTTTGGTGAGTACCAGCAGCAGAGGGATCTCTGCAGCCAGAGGCTGAGGGGGGTCACTGGTGAAATGACATGTTTTTTTCACAGGTTGGCTTTAGATCAGTTCCTTGATTGGTGTATTGTGCTACCACGTAAAACCTTGTGCCAGTGCAGGAGGGGCAGAATCACTTCCAACCCAATGGGGTTGGAAGGGACCTCTGGAGATCACCCAGTCCAACTCCCTGTCACAGCAGGGTCACCCAGAGCAGGTCCCACAGGAACGTGTCCAGGGGGGGTTTGAATGTCTCCAGAGAAGGAGACTCCACCACCTCTCTGGGCAGCCTCTGCCAGGGCTCTGCCACCCTCACAGCAAACAAGTTCCTCCTCATGTTTAGATGGAACTTCACATGTTCAAGTTTGTGCCCGTTCCCTCTTGTCCTGTCCCTGGGCACCACTGAAAAGAGACTGGCCCCATCCTCTTAACACCCACCCTTGAAGTATTTAGAGGTGTTGATCAGATCCCCCCTCAGCCTGCTCTTCTCCAGACTGAACAGACCCAAGTCCCTCAGCCTTTCCTCAGCACAGAGATGCTCCAGGCCCTTGATCATTTTCATAGCCCTTTGCTGTCCCCTCTCCAGCAGTTCCCTGTCCTTCTGGAACTGGGGAGCCCAGAACTGGTCCCAGTGCTCCAGATGGGGCCTCCCCAGGGCAGAGCAGAGGGGCAGGATGGCCTCCCTCCACCTGCTGCTCACCCTCTTCCTGATGCCCCCCAGGATGCCATTGGCTTCTTGGCCACCAGGGCCTATTGCTGGCTCCTGGGCAACCTGTTGGCCACCAGGACTCCCAGGTCTTTCTCCTCAGAGCTGCTCTCCAGCAGGTCACCCCCAACCTCTCCTGGTGCAGGGGGTTCTTCCTCCCCAGGTGCAGCACCCTGCACTTGCCTTTATTGAATTTCCTCAGGGTCCTCTCTGCCCAGCTTTCCAGCCTGTCCAGGTCTCACTGTAAGGCAGCACAGCCCTCCATAATGTCAATGACCTCTCCCAGTTTTGTATCATCACCAAACTTGCTGAGGGGACACTCCATCCCCTCACCCAGGTCCCCACCTGGATGCTCCTGAGTGATGTGCTCTGGGCAGCCCTGCTTTGGCAGGGGGTTGGGCTGGATGATCCCTAGAGGTCCCTTCCAGCTCTGACAATTCCCTGGTTCCATGAACCATTCTGTGGTTCTAGGATAGTAATTCTGTGACACCCCACCTGCTCACTTCCCATGTGGCTGATGTCCCACTCGGTACTTCCTCCGGTTCTTAGGTAATGCTGATCCTGTTAATTGGTGATTCTGCGTCATTACAAAGGCCATATTGGCAGGTAGTCCGTGCTGTATTTCAGCACAGCTGGTGGAGGTGGGTCTCAAAACCTACACTGCAGCACACGCCACCCCTGCGATGGGAAAATGCACTCAATCTGTTGAGAATGTGGAAAATGTTTATAGAAGGATTGTTTCCTTTATCCCTTTAGAGGTTGGTAACAAACTCTGAAGTGCCCAAAGCTCCACACTGCACGAGACTTTTCAGGAGAAACAAAAATGCCTGTACCTGTGATTGGGGAGGGGAGCAAAGGTGAAAATGGGCCATATTGAAGTGGATACATTTTCTCTTTCCAGGTAAAATCGTCGATGGGCTGTTGGTCATGAGAAAAATTGAAGTAAGTTGAATTTGCCTATTTCTCTGTGAATGTCCATGTTGGAAAGTCACACAGAGGATTCACAAGGGTTGTTCTGTTCTCTCCTGCTCTCTGTTTACAGGATAACAGGGAATACCAGGATCGATAACTGGTATTATTGGATGTCATTGTTATGAAATAGCAGGAAATCTGTTGAGGCAAAGGCTGTCGTATAGATGGACTTTAGAAATGCTGTGCTCTCGTGGCTGCTGGTTGGTCTCTGAGTGGGGATTGTGTTCTCCTGCCTTTATTTGCAGAGCTTTGCATTTGTTCAGGAAGCTGTATTGAAAAGCTCTTCCATCAGCAGCTCAGACAAGAGCCTAGAGCAGATCACTTCTGTGCCATCGCCTGGGATTATTCACCGGGTGCTAAATCATCACTTCTGCTGATCCCTGATCAGCATGTTTAATGAGAAAAATTAAACAGATCCTCTGATGGGCTTCCAGGAGCTGCAGATAAACACGCTGGGGGGTGGTGGTGGCTGCCAGCGCTGTGACAGTGTCACGGCAGGACCATGGGCAGATTCACCAAGCAGTGGGGTATTCTTTGAGGGAGCCGACGCCGCTTCATGGCACACGCCAGGGATGATGTGCACAAGGGCCTCTGCTGCCAGGGGATCCGTAAAGTGGGGCAAACACAGAGGTGACAGCTGAGAAAGGCCGTGCTGTCATTGCACGTGACCCTGACAGAAGCACCGGTGGAAGGGCCGTGGCACGTCTGCTCTGTGAGGGGGAATTAAGAGGATATAAGAGACTCATGAAAGAGCAGCCAATTCCAGCAGAAGGAGAGGTTCAGAACGAGGGCTGCTTTGTGACTAGCTCCTGTTTGGATTCCCCTTCTGTACAAATACAAGTTTGCTTGGCGTGTCCCAGCTGCAGTTAGTAACTTTAAAGATTTAAGCCAGAGCAGCCTCAAGTGACGTGACGTGACGCGATGCCTGCTGTATCTCAGGAGGAGCTCTGCAGTCCTTGCTCTGTCCCTTCCCTCCCGTTGGAAGGCTGGGGGTCTGGTCTGAGTCCCAAACCTCTGCACAAGGGGAGTTCACCTGCTTACGGTCAGGTCTGGTGCCAAAACACTTCTGTGTCACTCAGAGCTGTGCCTGGATTTCCTGGTCCCTGATGTTGCAAAAAAACCCCTCTCAGTCAGTCTTTGAGTACCTTGGATTTGCTGTGCTTTTATACGCTTTAACGTTCTTTATTTGTTTGTCCCCAGAATGTGCCCACGGGTCCAAATAACAAACCCAAGCTGCCAGTTGTGATCTCTCAGTGTGGGGAAATGTAAAGTGATGAAACAGAAATGTGGTAAGTCTCGTCTCTTCCCGTTGCAGTTGAGCTCGGGGCTGCTCTGCTCCTTAATTTTCCCTGGACTTATTTTCCCATTCGCTGGAGCCTGCAGAGAGCTGACTCAGCTCAGTGAAACACCAGGAAAAGCTTCTCTGACAGCATTAGCTTTTTTGCCAGCTCAACTCCCTGAACTGGCTTCTCTCCGAGCGCCAAAGGCAGCGCTGGGGGGATGAGATTTTGTGGCTGTGATCAGGGGAGGACGGGGCTGCGGGAGCCCTGGATGGGGCTGGGCTGCCTTGGAGCCTCGGCTTTAGAAACCAGTGGATGAAAGGGACCTGCAGCAGGAACCCAGCTGGTGATGCCCAGGTGTCTGGGAGGGTTTCCTCTCCCATTGCTACAGAAAGCAGAGCAGGGGGGCAGGCAGGGACCAAGAAAGGAAGAGGAGGCAGAGAGGAGTTGATCCTCCTTGCTCAGTTCAGCCATAGGATTGCCTCCACTGAAGGGCCAAGGAATTGCCATGTTACATATTCTTACCTTAACTCGGAAAAATACCCCTGTCCTCACCCGAAGGGACAAGTTTCCAGCATTTACTATTTTTCAGGCTTCATTTTGGTTAAACCAATAGGCTCATGACAGAGCTCAGGCTAACAACAGTATTCCATTTCCATTTGTCCGCCCACTTCACTGGGAAAAAACCCACCAGCATTTAAACAAATCTGTCTAGATTTCAATGTGTCAGGCTGCAGCTTGTCAAAAATCTGCTGTATTAGCCTTTTGGTTGCTGATTTTTTCAGATTTCAGCAGGCAGGCACTGACAAAAGAAAATCCCCACAATTTTTGACCTTCCATTAAATGATTTCCTAAGACATCTGGAATTGCCCACGGAGACTCGTCCCCGCTTCTGTAATAAAGTCCTTCAGATCTGCAGCACTTCAGACTCTTGGGAGCTCCTCCTGTTTGATGAAGTGACAACAGGGGATGTGATCGCTCTTTCATTTCCCTGGTGCTTCTGGTGGCATTTATAGGTTTTTGAAGGTGGGGACAACCCTGTTAACGGGTTTCTGGCAGGTGGGCAGAGCCCTGCTGATGGGTCACGTCCCCTTTAGGGTTGTCCTCGCCCCAGACCCGTTGATATTTCTGTTTGGAGTGGGTGGTCTCTGGCCAACATCCAACTGGAGACTGGAAGGGTTTCATTTCTAGGTGTGAGGCTGGTGCCACCCTCTTTGTTTCCCAGCTGAGGTCTTGGGAACGGCCTTTCCCATCCGCCTGGGGACAATGACTGTGTTTGTCTGGCCCCACTTCAGACTAAATCCGTTACTTAGTGAGATGCTTTAACCTCAGCCAGGAGAAATGGGCACTGTTGGGTTTAAGTTCAGGGGCAGATGCTGAGCAGGAGACCCCCATGGGGCTCCCATGTTCCTTGGCTCAGGCTGGACGTGAGGTGGTGTGTGCAGCCCGAACTGCTGCAGCAGCACCCGGAGTCCCTGCAGGGTCCTGCTGGTGTGGGACAGGCTGGGAATGGCACCCGGTGTCCCTGCAGGGTCCTGCTGGTGCAGGACGGGCTGGGAATGGCACCCAGTGTCCCTGCAGGGTCCTGCTGGTGTGGGACAGGCTGGGAATGGCACCCGGTGTCCCTGCAGGGTCCTGCTGGTGTGGGACAGGCTGGGAATGGCACCCGGTGTCCCTGCAGGGTCCTGCTGGTGTGGGACAGGCTGGGAATGGCACCCGGTGTCCCTGCAGGGTCCTGCTGGTGCAGGACAGGCTGGGAATGGCTCTTCGGCCTCGCCGACCTCTCTCTTCTTCCTTTCAGTGCTCCTTCGCCGGGGTTGGGCCTGTGCTGGCTCCACGTGGTTCCGACTCCAGCCAGTTCCCCACTGCCCCAGTCCTCTCTGATGGCAAATAGTAATTGGCACCTGTTACCTTTTTTTTTTTTTTTTTAACGTTTCGGAATGTAAATAAAGAATTTTGTTAAAATATTGGCGCAGCGCACATCAGTTAACGTGCTTGGGGACAGGTGAGAAGGGCTGTAGTGTCCTCAGCAGCGTGTGTTATCCCTGACTGGTTCTGCTGGGAGCACTGGGTGTGCAGGGTATGGAGGGACGTCGCTGCTGGGCTTTTGCCAAACGGGAAAGAAAGGGTGAAAGGAGCGTGGCAGAGCTGTGCCCCACCGGCTCCTTCACTCGCAGGGGAATAAGGCTACCTGGAGAGAGGTTCTTGGCATCTTGGGCATCTCCAGAACCTTTCGACGCACAGCTTTATTGCAGCACAGGAAGGTGGTGTGAACAGACTTCCATTGCCATGAGTTTGCTGGGCTCTGAGATGAGTTGTGTTGTAAAAAGAGTGTTTGTAGAACCTCCTCTGGCCCATCCAATATGTGGAGGGAGCTACAGGAGAGCTGGGGAGGGACTCTTTGTCAGAAGTGCAGTGACAGGACAAGGGGGAAGGGTTTTAAATTGGAAGAGGGGAGATTTAGATTCCAGAAAGGAATTCTTTGGTGTGAGCATGGTGAGACACTGGAACATTTTGTTAAAATATTGGAGCAGCACACATCAGTTAATGTGCTTGGGGACAGGTGAGAGGGGCTGTAGCATCCTCAGCAGCGTGTGTTATCCCTGACTGGTTCTGCTGGGAGCACTGGGTGTGTGGGGTATGGAGGGATGTCGCTGCTGGGCTTTTGCCAAACGGGAAAGAAAGGGTGAAAGGAGCGTGGCAGAGCTGTGCCCCACCGGCTCCTTCACTCAGCAGGGGAATAAGGCTGCCTGGAGAGAGGTTCTTGGCATCTTGGGCATCTCCAGAACCTTTCGACGCACAGCTTTATTGCAGCACAGGAAGGTGGTGTGAACAGACTTCCATTGCCATGAGTTTGCTGGGCTCTGAGATGAGTTGTGTTGTAAAAAGAGTGTTTGTAGAACCTCCTCTGGCCCATCCAATATGTGGAGGGAGCTACAGGAGAGCTGGGGAGGGACTCTTTGTCAGAAGTGCAGTGACAGGACAAGGGGGAAGGGTTTTAAATTGGAAGAGGGGAGATTTAGATTCCAGAAAGGAATTCTTTGGTGTGAGCATGGTGAGACACTGGAACAGGTTGCCCAGAGAAGCTGTGGCTGCCCCATCCCTGGAGGGGTTCAAGGGCAGGTTGGAGGGGGCTTGGAGCAACCTGGTGTGGTGGGAGGTGTCCCTGCCCAGGGCAGGGGGGTTGGAACTGGATGATCTTTAAGTCCCTTCCAACTCCAACCATTCTGTGATTCTGTGATCACGGCACTGGGACAGGGGCTGTTTCATGCTGCAGGAGTAGAAATCGGTGCTCCTTGCCCTGTGTGGACACGGAGAGCATGGGTGAGGCTGCAGGTTGGTGGAAAAGCTGATTTTTCTTCTGCCAGCCTGGGGCTGGAAGCTCACCTGCCTACTGGGGGCTGTAAACTGCCCCTCCTCGGGGCTGGGCTGCAGCCTGAGCTCATCTTGTAAATTAAATATAAAAGAGTTGGGACAAAGTCTGTTGTGTCACCTGCAGGTGCTTTGTCCCACCCGGGTGCGTCCCAGGGCAGCAGGAGTGGGTTGTGTGGGGCTGTCATGGGGCAGGCTCTGGCTTTGTGTGCTCTTCTGTCTCCTGGCTCTTTAAAGTGCTCAAAGCAGGCTCTGCTGGGGGGGTTTGAGTCCTCAGCACAGAAGGACATGGAGCTGTTGGAGCAGGGCCACAAGAGGCCCAGAGATGCTGGGAGGTGGGGCTGAGAGAGTTGGGGGGGTTCAGCCTGGAGAAGAGAAGGCTCCAGGGAGACCTCAGAGCCCCTTCCAGTCCCTAAAGAGGGGGGGGCTCCAGGAAAGCTGGGGAGGGACTCTGGGTCAGGGAGGGGAGCCCTAGGAGGAGGGGGAAGGGTTTGACACTGAAAGAGGGGAGATGGAGCTGAGCTGTGGGGAAGAACTTGTTTGGTGTGAGGGTGGTGAGAGCCTGGCCCAGGTTGGCCAGAGAAGCTGTGGCTGCCCCATCCCTGGAGGGGTTCAAGGGCAGGTTGGAGGGGGCTTGGAGCAACCTGGTGTGGTGGGAGGTGTCCCTGCCCAGGGCAGGGGGTGGCACTGGGGGGGCTTTAAGGTCCCTTCCAACCCAAACCATTCTGTGATTCTCTAATTTTCTGATCCCAATATGGAGAGGAAAACTGGACGCAGATGACAGCTGTGAGATAGAGGGGACCAAAAAGGGACAAATTCAGCTGCTGGTCCTGCTCAGGAGATGTGTCCAGATGCTCTGTGCCCAGGGGTTTGGGCAGGAGCTGAGCTCCAGCAGGGTGGGGGTGCTGTGCTGGTGCTGAGCTCTGCCGTTGGTGCTGCTGGAACCCAAATTCACTGTCATTTTTCACCAGGGAAACCAGCGTGTTTCTGGTCCGGGCTCGGCAGCGCTTTCTCAGCCTGATGTATTTCTGTCCCCGCCGTCAGCCGGTGTCACTGCCCGCAGAGCGGGGGTCACAGCGCTTCCCCAAGTTAATTAACAGCGACCAATTCATTACAACCTCTTTGAAAGTCATTCCAGTGGCTAATTATATCCCATTACACGGCTCCATTTGATGCTGAACGTGAGAGTTTCAGCTTTCCAACTTATGTACCTTGCTGTTCCTTGTCTGCTGGCTGAAAGTTCTCTGAGAGAGCACATTTTTGGGTTTGATTCCCCTGGGATGAAGTCCCTCTTCAGTGACATTGTACGTGGGAAGTCCTGGAACCTCCTGCCTTAGAGCAGGTGATGGATCTTCTCTCTCTGAGCTCCAGCATCTTCCTCCAGCCGTGGACGCTGCAATGGAGATGGTGTTTCTGATTCCCTTTATTCCTCTGAGGATCAGGTTGGCCTCTGGGCTCTGCAGAGTTACCCCCCCCACCCCAAGAGATCGCCGTGGGGTGGAGTATGGTCTGTTCCATCAGATGGACCACATTTTCTTCTGTAGATGCACGGCCCTGGCATCCTCACAGCCTTCACCACTGAGATTTGAAGTTTTCTCCCCGGTTTTTTCCCTCTAGGGCCTCTCGCAGGGTGGGTTCCCCATTAGCCATTATATTTTAAGAAGTATTTTTCAATGGACTTACTGAGCATCATCCAGTGTTGGTATCATTCTAGTTTCTTTATCGAGGTTGTAATCCCAATGTGGATCTCTTGTGGGATTGTATAATTGTTTTAAAGCTCTTTCCTTCATTTAGCTGAGTTGGAGATCTCATGTAGGAGATAGTTCCCCTTTTGCTCCGCTCTGGGGAAACCCCGCCTGGAGTATGGCATCCAGCTCTGGGGCCACCACCAGCAGAAGGACATGGAGCTGTTGGAGCGGGGCCAGAGGAGGCCACGGAGATGCTGGGGGGGCTGGAGCCCCTCTGCTGGGAGGGGGGGCTGAGAGAGTTGGGGGATTCAGCCTGGAGAAGAGAAGGCTCCGGGGAGACCTCAGAGCCCCTTCCAGTCCCTCAAGGGGCTCCAGGAGAGATGGGGAGGGACTGTGGATGAGGGAGGGGAGCCCTAGGAGGAGGGGGAAGGGTTTGACACTGAGAGAGAGGAGACTGAGGTGGGATCTGGGGAAGAACTTCTTTGGTGGTGAGAGCCTGGCCCAGGTTGCCCCGAGAAGCTGTGGCTGCCCCATCCCTGGAGGGGTTCAAGGGCAGGTTGGAGGGGGCTTGGAGGGAGCTGGTGTGGTGGGAGGTGTCCCTGCCCAGGGCAGGGGGTGGCACTGGGGGGGCTTTAAGGTCCCTTCTACTCCAGACCATTCAGTGATACCAAGATAGTGTGACAAGCCCTATCTGTGTTGTTGTGGGTTGACCTTGGCCCCATCCAAGCACCTCACCTGGGCAGGGTGTTATGGGGGAACTGGGTTCTGTTCTTGACGCTGGGGTGTGGGAAGGGCAGTCCTTTGTGGGTGATGCTGGAGGGGCTGATCCCAAGGGGTACACGTTGGTGGCAAAGGGTGGGGGGGTCTCCATCCAACCCCAACGTTGGACACACGTTGGTGGGACGATGGGTCAGCTCCCAGCGACCTTCTTAGTGGTGGCTGGTGCCTTTTCTCCCCTGTTGGGGGGGGGGTGTCACAGAGCCAAGGGCAGGGTCTGGAGCTGTGGCCAAACAACCACATTTGTTTAACATTTTTATCAATGACATAGACAGGGAGATTAAAGGCACCATCAGCAAGTTTGCAGACGATACCAAGCTGTGTGGTGTTGTCAATACACCAGAGGGACGGGATGTCATCCAGAGGGACCTGGGCAGGCTGGAGAGGTGGGCCCAGGTGAACCTCATGAGGTTCAACAAGAGCAAATGCAAGGTTCTGCACCTGGGCCGGAACAATCCTCGCCACCAATACAAACTAGGGGGTGAGGGATTGGAAAGCAGCCCTGAGGAAAGGGACTTGGGGGTTCTGGTGGAGGAGAAGCTGGACATGAGCAGGCAGTGGGCAGCTGCAGCCCAGAAGGCCAATCCCATCCTGGGCTGCATCAAAAGCTGCGTTGCCAGCAGGTCCAGAGAGGGGATTCTGCCACTTTGCTCTGGTGAGACCTCACCTGGAGTTCTGTGTACAGCTCTGGAGCCCTCAATATAAGAAGGACATGGACCTGATGGAGAGGGTCCAGAGGAGGGCCACAAGGATGATCAGGGGGATGGAGCACCTCTGCTACGAGGACAGGCTGAGGGAGCTGGGGTTGTTCAGCCTGGAGAAGAGGAGGCTCCGGGGAGACCTAATAGCAGCCTTCCAGTACCTGAGGGG